CCGCCTGACACGGGGCAGCGGAGCAATGGCGACGTGACACCGGGCGGGTGAGGAGCCCGCGCGCGTGAGTGTGTGCGCGAGTGTGTGTGGGGAGGGGAGCTGTGAGTGTGCACACGTATTTGGGAGTGCGTGTGTGTGCTTATTTCTGTGTGTTTTGGGAGAGTGTGTGTGTGTGCGCGTGTGTGTGTGTGCGTGGAGGCTGTGTGCAAAGTGTGAGCCCGCCCAGTGCGGAGGGGTGTGTTTAATGATCAACCCCGGACTTGTGGCTGGATCGCGAAGGCCGAGACGTTTCCTTTCCCAAGCCGCCTCCTCTGACCGTGCGTCTCTCTCCTCTTCTAGTTTTTCCCCCGTGCGGCGGCGGCGGTGGCGGCGAGGAGGAGTCGTCGAGCTGGACCCCCCGCGCCAGAGCTTGGAAGATGAAGGTAAGCAGAGCCAGCCCCGGAGCGTCGCCCTCGCCACCGGAGCTCGCTCGCTTGTTCGCTCTCCCTCTGTTTCCTCCCCGCCGCCGGCACCTTTCGTGCCATTGCTCGTCCCGCTGCGTCCTCCTCCAGCGACAGCAGAATAACATCCGGCCCGGCCGTGGACATCGGCACATGTTGATTCATGTGAAATCCCGTGCCTTCCATTTGACAGAGGTGATGCCATTGCGCTGCTTGAGAAAGATAGGATGCCTTTGAATGGTCGGCCTTCGGGCTGCTGCCTTTAAATGCTTCCTGTATTAGCAGCAGCTTTGGTGAGTGTGCACAAACCACACGCCGCTTTTTTTTGTCCTTCCTGAGCTGTTTCGGTTTTTGCAGAGCGGAGGCAAAACAATTGCTGGATCGTTTGCAAAGTGGGACGAACTTTTCTTGGCTGCGGAGGTGAACAAACACCGATTTAGAGCCTGACATTAATTCCTTGCACGCACCGATTTCCTGTTTTACTGTATTTCGACTCTTTTTTTTTTCCTTCTTCCTTTAAAGTGCAGTACCTCGTTTCTCAGTCATGGTAAAAAGCCAAGCAAAAGATTACTATGTTAAGTCATTCCCAGATACAGGCGTGTGAGCTTAACAGTTTCTAAGCCTGCTTGCATTTTGAGAGGATAAAGATCTGAGCAAAAGACTTTTGAGGAAGAAGAGGAGCATTTAACATAATTGTTTGAAAGGTTATAGCAAGTTGGTGTATTTTTTCCCTGTTTCTGGAAATCTGGGATAGACACTAGGATAGAACTCTGTTCACTGCATGGAAATGACAAATTGAATTATTTTTTTAAGTGGATATCAGCACATGAATATTTTAAAGTAAATATAGACTATGTTTGTTAATGTATCACTGCTGAAATGACAACTGTACAATCTCTGTTCAACTTGAAATATCACTTTCCCACTGTATTCTTTGCAAGGATGAGTTGAAATGATCTTGGGGTCTATATACATAGATATTTTTCCTCCTTATTGTAAGCACATGCTACACTTTGAGGCTGTTGATTTGGGGTTACTGAGACAGGAGTCATTGAAAAAATCATGGGTTAACATTAGTAGCAGAACAGAACTTCCTATAACTTATCCATGAACTCGGTATTAAGTAAGTGGTTTAGCCACTCTGTTATTTTGAAATTTCCTGGCAAAGCTCGTGTATTTATTTCACTTGTAAGTATTTTGGTATGATGTAAAAAGTGCTATAACACATCATCCTTGATTCATTCTTGTTCTTTTTTCTCAGTTAAGTTCCTTAAGTTGCTATTTTAAATTGTATGCCTAGATGTAAATGACAGAATAGGGACATAGGCAGTTCTGATTTTTTTCCCCCTCCTTATTACATTTTTCTTAGAGTCTATTTTGTTGAAGTTGCTTTTTTTTTTGTTCTCTGCATGTATGTGGTTTATAAAACACTTTTTGTGTCTGTTGTAGCAAGATCAATTTGTTAATCTTTTTTTGGTGCATCTTGTTTAGAAATTATACTGAGACAGTGAAACTTTAAATCTGATTAAAACATTACAAAATATCTTGGCTAAAATTGGGTCTGCCTGGAAAAAACACTTAGTCTGATCCTGCTCCACTGTTTTTATGGAACAAAATCAAGGGGCATTGTTAGCAGGTGTGTCAACAAATTGCTAACTTTTTAGCATACATCCTTTTAAAGAAAGGTCAGACTTACAGTAGCTACATAAATTGCTGTTTAGGATTTTGTGAAGAAATGGTCAACAGGACTGAAACTTTGGATGCGTATTTGAATGTACGATGCTTGTTGCTAATGAATTTCTTTTTTTAACAAAATATGAATATGAGAGACTAACTGTTTTCATGTTTTCTTTTTTTTATAGGCAGCAGATGAGCCTGCCTACTTAACAGTCGGGACTGATGTCAGTGCCAAGTACCGTGGTGCCTTTTGTGAGGCAAAGATAAAGACGGTGAAAAGGCTAGTGAAAGTCAAGGTAGAATTCGTTATATTAGTGGTAATCTTTCTGTTTCTTATTCAAAAAGGTAATATTCACAGGAACACCAAGGAAAATCATGCCTCTTAAAATTTATGTATGACTAAACAGATCTGTGGACATTTCTTATAAAGTTTTTTTTCGGTCTCCCAAAAATCATTGGTGCAATTAGTTTAGTGCATATGTGTTCTTTTCTTTTGAAGGATGCTAGAGTACAATAGTCTCTAAAATAATTTTATCTGTTCTTGCTACTTATTTCTCATTTGAATTTATAATCTTCTTATGTTTGTGACGACAGCTGTTCCACAGCAATCAGTTTTGATGTCACAAACAAGATTATGACTTTAGGTGACTAATAAGAAATAGGAATGAACTCTTCAGGTGCAAAGATTCAGTTTTATGCAGGCAGCCTCAGTTTTATAGTTAGGAAGAAAAAGAAGAGAGAAGACAAACTTAAAAACAACTCTTTTTAACATTGACCTCCAGCGATCTGTCAATTGAAAAACATTTGTGGGTTGCACTAAAGCAGCAAACTCTATCCATGCGTGCCATCAGTGTGGTGTCTTTCCTAGGTTAAGATTGTGCTAATACTTAATACACATTCAATGATACAGGGAAAAACAGTAACCTGTTCTTGTAATCTATTTTGGCATTTCTCCTGAGTGAAATTTTTTAATGCTAACAGTGAAAAATGAAGAATGAATGTCCCAAAAATTCATGTTAATGCAGGATGCGATATAAATCCAGAAATTATCTTTGTGTCTTGTTTTTTCAAAAATGTTGACTTTTACTTCCTAGTCTATCATTCAGAATACATAAATAAGGTACAGAAATAATAACTACAATTTTATGAAAGGTCTCTCTTTTTTGTTTAGTACACATTTACATTTTGAAAACCTTAACACTTAACTCGGGGAGAACACTCTGTCAGTCCATGCAGTACTTCCACTTCAGTATGAGCTCAGTTTGATCAGTTTAAAAAACAAGTAAAACCTAGAAATATTTCTGTCCCTTTCTCCCTGTCATCACCTTGTAGGTTTATGGGGTGGTTTTAACCTGTGCAAATGAGAACACTATTGTGGGAAAGAAGTGCATTTTCCTTTCTTGCGCTGACTCCTGTGAAGTCCGTTTCCCATGATTCTGTCTCTGACTGACAGAGTATTTAGAACGTTTAGCTATGTGATGTTTTTCTGCCTTTGGATCCTAATCTGTACATCATTACGGGGTCCCTGGGGTTTATGATATGGGTGAGACAAATTTGGACCTTTGACATTGTCTCATTTACATTTAAAAAAATGAAAATTGTAATGAGTTAAGTCTGATCCTATACTTAGATGCCTGTGGGCATGCCCTTATGCCAGAACAAGTCCCACTACATTCAGTAGGACTTTTTATGAGACCAAAGGTTTGCCTGTATGGACCCCAGTACAGATTCAGAGCCGTTTAAAAAAAACAACCCTCATATGATCTGTTCTGTAGTTCATGTGTCATTTTATCTCTTTAGTTCTTGATGAACAGCTGTTTTTTGTGTTGGTTAGTAATGGTGTCATAGAATTTTTTAGATGAGATCAGAAAGCTGGCACGTGATAAATGGAAGTGAGTAGTTGAGGTTTTTGATCACTGAAGGGAAATGGACAGTTCTTAGTAGTAGGGGAACATATGTTAAATGTGTTTGCTAAAGAGCTGAGAATTTTGACATCTAAACGTTCATATTTGTTTCAAAATTAACAATCTGGTAAAATGAATGGTCTGATTTATGCCTCTCAAAGCCACTGTTTGCAGTCTTTTTGCAAACTTAGGCAAACCTGACTGCATCAGTTGATTTTTTTCAATTTATGTTGCCACAGTTCTCTCCATGGCCATGAGGCCTGAAAGCATGATTTTTAGAAAGAAAATGTAGAGCTTGTTCACTTGTGTTTCAAATGCTGGATTGTTTGTAATTCATACCTTTGCTGTACAAGTGTGTTGGGCATTTTTAAACCAAAATAAATGTGTCCCCCCATAGTCCTGTGCAAAGAAGTTAAATGGGTGAGTTGTAACAAATTTAAGTTTCTGTTAACAAGTAGACAGATCTTCAGATTCACAGCTCTGGAGCAATGACTGAATTCTGTGGGAGACTGTGTGAAATATAGAAAGATTCTTTCTTAAAGTACTAGAGTTCATATGAAGAAGCATAACTCTTAAATCTCTAGTCTTGCAACCCATTTACAGATATCAGTTTGTACTGATATCTAGTCTCATAAACATATCAAAGTATATTCCTCTCCCATGGTATAATTGTGATATTTGATATAGGTGGGCTGTCCTTGTTACCACTAACTGATTTATCCAGTTTGATTATTGAATGTGTGGTACTTTCCTGGGCTCTGTGTAAAGTCAAACATTGGTCTGTTGTTTGTGTTCAGGAATCTTTAAGACTATTTACTGCACAAGGTCTTATTTTTCGAACTCTAAATATCACAGGGATTGCGAAGCATGCTTTTTGGTGCTATAAGATATTTATTTTTCAGGTAACTCTGAAACAGGACAGTTCAACTCAGCTAGTGCAAGATGATCAAGTGAAAGGACCTTTAAGAGTATGTATGCATCTTTTTTCCTCTCCCAAATGTATGATTAAAATACAAGATTCCAAATTTTGATGTTTGTTTTTGAGTACGTGAACCAGAGGTCATGGGGTAGTGGAAGGGCACCTGTTAGCTTTGGATAAGGCCCAGGATGAGTAATCACCCTTGTGAACTAATTTCTTAGTTTTAAAAGATGTATTCATCTATGCCTGTGGTCTGGTTGGATGTATATGGAAATGTTGCTGCAGGCAGGTTGGTCTCTGTAAATGTTTCCAGTATAAATTGGCAAAGGGCAACTCAGTGAAACGATATGCAAGTTTATTAGATAGCAGTAAATAAGATGTGTGTGTGTGTAATGCATAAAATGGTATGTACTGTAGCATTGTTTTGGAATATATATTCCAAAACAATTATATATTTTGTTCAGTTGGAAGTTGCTAGAGTAGAAGATAACTGGAACAAAATATTGATGATTTTGCATTAAACAGCTTGCTTCTGTTTTTTTTTCTGAGGTCTTCCTTTTTTCTGTCCTTCCTTCATAGCTGAAGATGCTAGAACCTACTGCTGTCTAAATCTAGCCTAAGCTTCAAAACTTTTCTTTTCAACTGACAGTAAAATACATCATGTTTATTATGGTTGTTTAAGAGTAAACAATAAAGCCGTTATATTTTTATGTTATTGACCTGTGGAGCTTTACTAATACTGCTTAAAGTATTATATTAGGGGTTTAGATTTAATCTGCGTATCTTGAATTAGCCTGATTTTATTGATTTTTGTTATGTTATAAAGTCAGTCAGTCATTGTAATATGCTAGTTCACTTTCTTTCCCCTCCATGTTTAACCAAAACCATGTGATTTGATTAAAAACTTCTCATTTTAGAGGTTATTTAACCAATATGTGCATTTCACAAGGTAGTGTAACTGAGTTCCTCCAGAAAAATTGCTGAAGAATTAGTTTGTGCATGTTTTTCATCTTTCGTTTATGAATTGTCTAATACAATCTTGAGGTATTTATTTTGTAGGTTGGTGCAACAGTTGAAACCAAGATGCCTGATGGATCTTTCCATGAAGCTACTATCAGCAAATTGACAGATGCCAGCTGGTATACAGTAGGTAAGTAATTGAGTGGGTCTTAAGTTAATTATATACAAAACTGATTTAAATTAATGGAAAAGCATATCATAAGAGCCATCATTTGATTGCCGGCATGAAGATGTAAGTTCAGGTCCTGGGGTTGTGGGACTCACAGGAAGAACTTCGCCAAGACCTTTTTTTCCATGCAAAGTAATTATATCATTTCCAGACTTTAGAATGGTGTTTTAATGATAAATTGTCAGGTGCTCAAGTGCTGTGCTTACGAGCACTTATTCCAATAGCTTGCCTGTTGATGCAAGCTTTAGTTCACAGACTATATGCCTATTTAACATAGGAGTTTCATTTCCTGGAAGACACAATAGTTGAAATGTTATTTTAAAAAGACTAACTTTAAAACTTGCAGTTGTACTTTACTTATATTGAGTGTGTGTCTTTTCTTTTTAGTGAATACGTGAATATTTAAATAATTGCTCTTGTCGTCTAGATCAGGGATTGACAACATTTTGAATTGGGGCACTGCCTTAAGAGAGCTCATATCTGAGCACGGACTACTTCCCGCTGCAGTGTTACTGCCACTGCTCCTTCTTGCTGCCATTTCTCCCTACTGTCTACAAAGTCTCCCACCACAGAAACACTGCAGAAGCCCCCTGGCCCCATGGGTCATCTGGCTCTGCTGGCTGGATCTGGCCCATGGGCTGTAGGTTGCTGTCCCTGTCCTAGGCTGTTATCTTCTGCAGGGCATGGTGATAAAAACATTTCTATGATTTCAGTCTTCTTAAAGGATACTGATGAATTTAAAGTACACAGTACAAGAGTTCAGTGTAGCAGACAAGTGTATTCTCTTCCTTTGGAAGAGGAAGAAACAATGTTTTAGAAGCTCAGTTGGTTTTGAAGTACAGGGAATTTGTGTGTGGATCTCAATGGGAGCTGGAGTGAATCCTAAGGTAGTTTAGAGCCTTATCACCTTGTGATTGTGAGCCTATGGATGTGATCCTCTTAACTTCTTTAAAATTGTCCAGCTACCTTGCTATTTGATTTCTGCTTCAAAAATATTGCATAATTGAATATAGTATAATTTGGGGTGCTTAGTTGAACTTGAATACCAGGAGAACTGGACCCAGGAGAATTTAGGTTTCATCTGACCCTGGCTCTCTTTCCTGCCTAGGCAGGAGGTTGGACTCGTTGATCTGTTGAGGTCCCTTCCAACCCTAGCATCTATGAAACTAGGTGCGTCTCACTGATAAAAGAGAAAAAAGTTTGACTGAATTAATTAATGTAAGGAGCTGTTGTCTGTCTAGTAAAAAACTAGGAGACTGGCGTCGACACCTACACAGTCAAATGAGTCACTAGTTGGCTGGAGGGCGGCGCCCAGAGAGTGGTGGTGGACGGGTCTTATTCGACCTGGAGGGATGTGGGCAGTGGGGTTCTGCAGGGCTCGGTCCTCGGGCCCGCGCTGTTCAACATCTTCATCAGCGACTTGGACGAGGGGGTGAAAAGCACCCTGTTCAAATTCGCAGAGGACACTAAGATGTGGGGAGAAGTGGGCACGCTAGAAGGGAGGAATACGCTGCAATCGAACCTAGACAGGTTACAGGGGTGGGCGGATGAGAACAGGATGGGTTTCAACACTGACAAGTGCAAGGTGCTGCACCTGGGGAGGAAGAACCAGCAGCAGACCTACAGGCTGGGGAACTCCCTTCTCGTCAGTGCAGAGGCAGAAAAGGATCTTGGAGTTATTATTGATGCCAAAATGAACGTGGGCCGACAGCGTGGGGACGTGGTCAGGAAGGCCAACCGTACCTTGTCATGCATCCACAGATGCATCTCCAGCAGGTCCAAGGAGGTGATCCTCCCCCTCTATGTGACACTGGTCAGGCCGCAGTTGGAGTACTGCGTCCAGTTCTGGGCGCCGCACTTCAGGAGGGATGTGAACAACATGGAGAGGGTCCAGAGGAGGGCCACCCACATGATCAGGGGTCAGCAGGGCAGGCCCTACGAGGAGAGGCTATGGGACCTGAACCTGTTCAGCCTCCACAAGAGAAGGGTGCGGGGGGGTGGAATCTAGTGGCCATTTACAAACTAGTCGGAGGGGACCACCAGGCATTGGGGGAGTCCCTGTTCCCCCAAGCACTCCCAGGAGTGACGAGAAATAATGGTCACAAGCTGGCAGAGGGTAGATTCAGGCTAGATATCAGGAGGCGCTACTTCACAGGGCGGCTAGGATCTGGAACCAACTTCCATGAGAAGTGGTGCTGGCTCCTACCCTGGAGGTCTTTAAGAGGAGGCTGGATGAGCACCTTGCCGGGGTCATTTGACCCCATTACTCTTTCCTGCCATGGCAGGGGGTCGGACTAGATGATCTGCTCAGGTCCCTTCTGACCCTGCCAACTATGAAACTGTGAAATTTTGTAGATGAGCTTCAATTTTTGGCTGAACATGGAGGTGAAAAATTTACACTTGATCTACAGATGGTTTGTAAGAGGGAACATTCACGAATCATGTACTGAGCATGCATAATATGATTCTATTCCTTTTATGCAGGTAGGAAAATGCTGTGCTTCAAATGGATTTGTTTTAATGTATGCAAGTGGGTTTATGTATGGCTTTCCGCTACTTTAAAAAAATAACTAGAAGGAGAGATTCTAGCAATAGAATACAGGAAATAGGCTACAGCATGAACTCTTACTTAGATTCTCCTGCAATGAAATTTTAGCTCCTCTTTAAACTTTTACTTTGTTACTTCATAATAGGTCTGTAAAGTCGTTAGTGTTTTGGCATAAATTGGAACTCTGCTCTTTTTAGTCTTTGGTAACAGTATATCAGAATACAGTAATATAAACCCTACAGGAAATATCTTAAGCCCTGTCTAGGTTCAGTTAAATAAATAGCAAGTAGGCCCTTAATGCACATTTGTGAGTAAGCAATATATGACAGTCTTTTTCAGCATACAAGCCAAAAGTAATGATCTGAGTATATATACATTGTCAAATGTTGAATTGTTAATACATTAGAGTAACTTTTAAAGTTAGGGAAATTGTTGTGGCCCAAGGAAATCTGAAATGGAACCTTTTGGTCTTAGGTCATTATTTCTAATATAACTCCAGTTGATTATGACCAAAAGATACTGTCTAACAACTGCAGTAAATTCTATGAACTAAGTTGTGCTTATTTTCCTAGTGGTTTGTTATATGCTATACTACTTAGTATCTTTGGCTGTTTCAGAAGTGCAGCCAAACAATTAATGGATATGGGGACTAAACAGCCTTTCCAGAACATGGTTACGTTTCAGTGGAAGGGCATTGTGGAATACTTGTATTGCAATTGTCTGTGCTATTCCTGTTCTGAATTATTTTCAATTTACTTAGCACAACTTGTCTAATGATCTGAAAACACTTACGAAAATAGATGGGTAGTAATCACTGTGTAAAGAACAAGGAAACTAATGGTATACAAATTAAAACAAAGTTCTGCAACAGTGCCCTAATCCTAACTTGGTGTTTCAGTTTTTGGGTGTCTGTTTTTGAGGCATGGGTCTAGAATTTTAGGAGGACTAGTGTTGCTTAATACCTTTGAACATTGGGCTCTAACTTCAAATGGATAAATTTAAAAGAAGAAGAAAAAAGTGGATGCTTTAAATACTTTTACCTTAAATTACTTTCTCAGTGTTATAAGATGAGCTAAGTCAATTCTGAAAGTGCTTAGCATGTTCCAGTCTTCTGCTGTAGAGTAGGCCACTACATTTACAACTCAACATTTGACAATGTGTATTCAGATCATTACTTTTGGCTTGTATTTTGCCACTGATAAGGGCCATTTCATATTGATATCGCAGTAATAAAAATGAAATGCTTTGTTTTAATAACAGTTATTTTAGTTATTAGCATGGTAATGCTCTGCTCAAAATGGATTAAGGGCTGTTTAAAAATAATCACATACAGGCTTTTCATTGCTGCTGCATCTGAATTGCCTTTGTACCACAGAGCATGGACTAGTAATGTTAACACTGCAAAAATGAAGTGATGTTGGACTTTAACTGGGGCGAGGAAATACTTTTGGAATTGAGCTACTTTTTCAAAAGTATGAATAGGACAAGAAATAGAAAAGGCTGGGGGTAAAAGTTTAACAGGTTCTGGGAAATGCCTCTGTACATTTAAACCTAGTTGAGTAAAGAGATGAGTGGTAGTGGCAGAGGTTTAGTTATCATGGATAAAGAATAGCTAAAGTAGACATTTAAGTCTTTTTAAAAGGAACATTTTAATTAAGTTTTGAAAATAATTACAAAATAGGGAGTGTTGCAGTAATGTTGAAGAGGAGTTTTATGCTTGTTGCATGTTGGATGTTATAGTTAGGCGACAATTACATAACTTCAGAACAGTCTTACTAAGTCTGTTTTAACCAAGCCATTTTTTAAATACTGCTTATTTATTTAGTCTTTCATCTACAAGTTTCTCAAGTATTAATTCGTAAAGTACCTTGGGTAAATATTGAAGTAACCTCTGAAACAAGTAAAGAAAAATAAGCTGCATGGTTCTGTAAAGGTGTTGCTACAGATACCAGTGGTAAAACGGAGATAACTGTGATAAGCTGTGAACCTGTCCTTGAACATTAAAAATATATATATTTTAAAGCACTGTTTATAGCAGGAAGTTTCTTTCTCTAAATGTTTACACTGGTAACTAAAATTAAAGGTAGGGTCTTAGTGTGTAAAACTGTTTCTTGCCTATAGACTTCAGTAAAGTGCTTTTGTACTTTCCCACTATAGTGTTGTTTACCCGCAGGGTGTGCTTTTAAGTTTGCTCCTATTAAGTGTCCCTTAAATTTTCTATTAAAAAATTACTCATTGGATTAGTTTTCAGAAATCAGTGCTATTTCATTAAAAATCAGAGCAGGGTGTTCAAGAAGCTCTTAACAAGAATTCCTTCTCCTTCCTTTCCCTTTCCCAGAGCTGAGGGGCATTTCCTGAGTTCCAGAAGATCATGAAATGAAAACCTCTATGTTCTTGGTCCCAGATCTGTTGT